TGTGCACTGCTCCAGCGTCCCGTTAGAAGACAGGACTTCCGTGTACCCTTCTTCACAACTGCATGTCCTCGTCTGCGGGAGAGCAAGATTTCTACTGAGCATGCAGGCGAGTTTGGGAGCCTAACAGACCCGACTTAAAGAGAAGGCTTTAATGAAATACTGTTTTGGGAATTTGCTACATGCAATTTCTGTCTTCACTACATTAAAAAACAGAACACACTTTTTGTACCGCACACAAGCTTATCCTAACAGTAGAAGCAAGTGCATCCAGAATTGTTTATATTGATAAAAGAGGTTCCAAACTAGAATTTTTATGCCTCAAGACATGCCTTTTATAAAGGGAAATGACTGCACAAGAGGCAGTGGGGCGACAAATGATGAGGCTGGCCTGTCTACCCTAATGAACTCACACATACCTCGCTACAGTACGAGTGGGGTTGACTACACGGTGGGTGACAAGACCTGTCAGCATCGGGCTGGCGAACCACCAAGCACCCCCCTGCGGAACAGAAAACCACATTTTGACAAGGAGTAATTCTTGCGATAATAAGAACACACTGTTGTTATGGGCTTGTCTTTGAACCCTAACCCACGCTGGGACTCCCACAGGTTTTCCTGAGAAATACTTGGTTAACCTTGACCACTGTATTTAGGAACTCGAGGTGCTCTTTACTCAGAGGAGACGGCCTTGTGCCGGGCGCAGAGCAGGTGTTCCACACGCGCTTGCTGAACAGACGATTTGATAGTTGCTGCCTTGAAAACCCTGACTGCACATGGGCTATTTCCGTCATTGTTCCTGAGGCCACGTCCAGCATTAAAAAGCAGGTTTAATTTTCCCTTAAAGTTAAAATTCTTTCTTGGTTAATTCAAGGAAATAGTTTTCATATTTCTTTAATTTATGGTCTACCACATGAATGCATTTTTTATAATGTGTATTTCTTTTTTAGAAAAATCACATTCAGAATTTTGGGGGGACAGGAAAGAAAACAAATATAGCTACTAAGTGTGTGCTTGCACTGCTGTTTCAACTTGACACTGCAGTTCTCTATTGATTCCTCTTCCTTTTCTTCCTCTTCCAGCATAGTATCAAGTGTGCCTACGTTGTTATATCAAGATGGGGAGAGATGCCATAAAGTGACATGGAAGGAACTCACAGTTTCAAACCATTCTTGTTCAATGTAACAGAATTTTAGCAAAGCAAAGTTTTTCCTTTATTTACGGAATCAATGATCCTGTGGAATTTCTGAGTGACTATTGCTAATTCTCAATATTATAAATTAAATGTTCATAGAAACAATGTTATGAAAGCAGTTAGTCATTGCAAGGCAGTTGCAGTTAAATGGCCACATGGAAGTGACATCATTAAACACATACAGAAAAAGGAAAACAACAGCCTGCGTTTCTTATAAGGATAACTATTCTTAACATTAAAGCAATCCATGCAGGTAGGCAAAATACTTTACATGATTATCTACTTCTCATAGAGCAGGGGTGGGCAAACTTTTTGACTCGAGGACCACAATGGGTTCTTAAACTGGACCGGAGGGCCGGAACAAAAGCATGGATGGAGTGTTTGTGTGAACTAATATAAATTCAAAGTAAACATCATTACATAAAAGGGTACGGTCTTTTGTTTTTTAGTTTTATTCATTTCAAACGGGCCGGATCCGGCCCGCAGGCCGTAGTTTGCCCACGGCTGTCATAGAGAATCTCATCTCTCCTAAAAGATGGAAAAGGAATGCATATAAAGTTGATCACACATCACTTATACATTGGCTTTTTAGTATCAAACAGTAGTAAGAAATAAAAATAGTGTATACTATACTGCATTAAAAAGAAATGGAAAATATGATTTCTACAGGTATGTCTTTTAAAATTTGACTTACCTTGGCATTGGGGAATAGCCCCAATTTCAGGGGGACAAGAGATTTTAACATGCAGAAGAAAAGGCAGACAAGTATCATTTGCATCCTTATTTAGGAAACAAAACACATTGAAAACTAATAGGACCCTCTGGGGAAGCTATAAAATTATTTTTGAAAAGTTTAAAGGAGAATGTAGATATTCATTTCCAACTGCTGAGCTGAGTGGACCGCCTACCATGCTTCCGGTTCAGAAAGGCCCCGCTTCCCTTTTTCTTAGATGTGAGGTTGGAACAGACTTTTCTCCCAGAAAATAACACTCAGAGAACAAAGGGTTTCCTGGAAGGTCTCTTTTCTTGGTCACGCATGTGTCCACTGGGAGTTGCTATTATCAAGGGTTTCTTGACACAGATTTCTCATACATAAAATCTTATCTTCACAAGAATACAATTTGACATCCTGCTCCCACTTTCATAGGGAGGAAATGAGTAATTAGGTTTCAATAAATCCAGGTAATTTAAAATTCAATATAAAAATTAATGCTTTCCAAAAAGCACATTGATCCCTGCGCCTGTTATCTTACTGGATATATTACAGCTAAATTTATAAATGGATAGACTCAGAGGCACCCAAATGCACATTACTTTTCTCCCTGCCAGAGGGTCAAAACAATGGCGGTAAGTCAGCAGGTCACCCTGAACAGATAACTGTCAGTACTCATGCTACTGCTATGCTATGGAGATTCCTGTAAATTAAATCTATAAAAATAAATTAAGAAGAGACAATAGATCTTTGGGTTCATGTGCTTGAGGTTGAGGTTCTGGTTCCAACCTTGGTTTCTTTATAGGAGATTTGCAGGTGCCTCACCTCACTAAATATCAGGAGCCAAGTTTTTTTCCCTTCTTCAAAGGAATCCTTGGGATCCCTTGCCTTTACTGGGCTCAGATAAGGAAACTTTTAAGCATTGCAGATTGGAGTAGTTCTTTGGGGTAAATTTGGGTATGAAGGACACATAAAAGTTCTGCACTTGGATTTCTTCTTCGGATGTATAATTATTTTTGTGTGGGGACAGACTGGGTGAGTGTTCAGATACTCTGAGCTGGAGATTTACCAATAGGTTTTCCCTGTCTACACTAATAAAAGAGGAACATGCAAATTGGTGTTACTCCACTAAGCCCACCAGCCAATCAGAGCAACTATGCAAATTAACCCAACAAAGATGGAGGTTAATTTGCATACACAGGCACGGAGCAAAGACTGAAGGCTCCGGCCAAAGTGAAGACTGAAGACTGAAGATGCTTGGCTACACAGGATCAAGCCAAGCCTAACTGTGGCCGCAGTGGAGAAGCCAAGCCTCGAGGTGCGGCCAGACCAAAGGCCTGGGTCCCGGGTGCCGGAGGAAAACCAGTGCCAGCAGCCAGGGGAAGGAAGGCCTATTGTGCAAATCTTTGTGCAACGGGCTTCTAGTCCTATATAATAAAAGGGTAATGTGCAAATCAACCGAATGACAGAATGACCAGGCGCTATGATGTGCACTGACCACCAGGGGACAGATGCTCAATGCAGAAGCTGACCCCTGGTGGTCAGTGCGCTCAGCCAGAAGCTGGGCTGGTGACTGGTGAGCACAGTGGCAGTGGCAGGAGCCTTTCCCGCCTCTGTGGCAGAGTTAAGGATGTCCAACTGACGGCTTAGGCCTGCTCCCCAAAGCCATCACTCGGACATCCCTCAAGGGCACCTAGACTGCGAAAGGGCACAGGATGGGCTGAGGGATCCTGCCCCTGAGTGCATGAATGTCATGCACCGGGCCTCTAATTAATTAATAAAAGAACTATAGAAATCATACATTTCTGAATTCAAGCAAGGTATCATAACTTATATAATCATTAAAGGCCCAGTGCATGAAATTCCTTCACAGGTAGGGTCCCTAGGCCTGGCCGGTGATCAGGGCTGATCTGTGTGGCAACCAGCAAGGTGATTGGGGGGCCCCTGCTGGCACCTGACTTGGTTGGCCTGGGGCCTGCAGGCTGGGGGCAGCTCCTGCATTGAGCATCTGCCCCCTGGTGGTCAGCATGCATTTTAGCAACTGGTCGTTCTGCCGGTTGTTCCGCCATTCAGGCAATTTGCATATTAGGCTTTTATTATATAGGATATTCCCTTGAAAATATTTTGGTCTGTGAGTGCATTGCATTTTAAGGCACAGAAGCAGATATAGTCAACAAAAAATTGATTATTTCTTATCATGTAGTGAGTTATTAATATGTACATTTCTAGTAAAAACAATCTGAGAATTATTTACTTATAATAATCATTTGTTAGAGTTAGACAATATTTTAATTAAATAAATTTTAGCACCAATGTCTAAAATGGCTGGGTGAGGGAGAATTTAACTGAAACATTAAAAAAGAAAGTAATTTGTCATTGGTCCCAGACAGATATACAGCTCAGGTGTCCTGAATCCGATCATGTGTTGAATCCTGAAAGAATGTCTTTGTTGTCCTAATTATTTTCTCTAACCTATTACACGTGGGTTACAGGAAAACTTTCAAAGAACAAAGAGAAATTGGAGGTTTACCTGTTACATTTACACCATCTGACCTTTGACACCAGACAGTTCGGGAAGAGCCTTTCCAAGCACTAGCCATCCATTTATACTCGTAACACTGTCCATCTGCAGGGAGACAATATACATTAACAGAAGCATTGTGCTGTCCAGAAGGATAATCATGGTGATAGAGTATTAGTTAAATATTTATAAGCAATTGAAAAGTGATAAGAAGGCCATCTCAAATGATGCGAATGCCAATTTGTTTTCCTCAAGTTGCCATATGTTACGCAATTCCAGATATCACCTTAATCCCAAGTAATTTTCCATATCTGCTGTTATACTATCTCATGCAAACCTGGATTTTAATTTTATTTAAACATTATGAAATATCAAACATATAGACAAGGATAGAGAATAACTAAAAAATTTCAATTACGTATCATGCCATTTAACAAATGGGAAGGAAGCAGAGCTTTTTTTTTTTTCCAAACCATTAATATTTTATTTAACAAAAACAACTGGGATTATTTCTAGAGCTTATAGTATATTTAATATAAAAATAAGGAATTCTCCAAAAATGCAAAACTTATAGATCCAAGCTAGACAGAAATTTATTTCACATTTCAGTTACCCAAAACAACAGCTTGTGGTCGCCTCCAACTACACATAGTGGGAGAGTTCTATGCCAGGAAAGGCCAGATCCAACGACTACTGAACCAAGGAGGATGGGCTGAGGGTGTCCTAAATGATGAATTTGAAACTGGCTTGCCATTTTGCCAGGATAACCAGTGGTTGCAAACAAATTTTCATTAATTGTGGACCACCTAAATATGCAGGCTCGATCCATGTGGACAGGTCTCTTCACTTGAGGGTAACTGGATCGAGTAATATCCCAAATTAGCCAATCATTCCCTGCAACAGCTCCAACTTTGAAGGTGTTTTTTAAACACCAGTGTGCTGACATTAATGGTATCTGTTCTGATTCAAGAGATAAAATAGCCTGTTGGGACATAAGACCATAAAATCGGATTGTTCCATTCTTCTCTGCAACCATCAGCTTAAAAGATTCCTCAGGATGCCAGCACACACTCATTCCAGGGGAATTAAGAGCAAAATGAGATGTCTGTACTCCGTCCAAGTTCCAAATCCTGCAGGTATGATCATCACTGACACTTGCAATTCCTTGGCCTTCTTTGGGGTCAAACACCAAACCATTAATGAAATCTGAATGGCCCTCTAAAACCTTGTATTCATTTTTATCTTGAAGATCTGACGTAAACAATCTAATTAGCCATATTTGCTTTAGCCTTTTTTTTTGCTTGCTGATGAGTCAAAATAACACATAAACTTGCTGTCCTATTACATTCCCTTCTGATCTCCCTCCATGCCTGTCCAGCAACACCCACTGTTCTGAAGTAGATAGATACTCTTCTGTGACCTTTTATATTCTTTTGATATAAATATACTATAAATATATATATATCTATAAATTATATAAGGTATTATTTTTAGTCAGGCTCAAAATTTAAAAAGTGTCATATTCTGAATTATTCTAAAATGTATAGTCCATGTTACAGATGAACTATTTCTATGTGATTTTAATGTAGATGTAGTCAGTTTATTTTATCTTCTATATATAATTTCATGGTAGTAATTACTATAATTTATTCCACTATTTTCTCTAAGGGTGGACTTTTGGGTTGTTTTCAATTTTTGCTATTTTATCAAGCCTCAGTGATCAGCCTTATGTAAGCCTCTGGGTGTTTCCTTAAGGTAACTATCTAGAAGGGACATTTCTGGGGATCACTATAGGGATAGCTGAAACTTTACTAAATGTAGGTCATTTTTTTTCCCTCTAAAAGGAGGCCATTTACATACCCACCAGCTGAGAATAGGGCTACCATTGCTCTAAACCCTCATGGACCTTCATGATTTCCAGATTTAAAATTTTTGTCAGTCTTGTGAAAAGCTATCTTACTTTAAATTGCAGTCTTTTGATTGCTAAAGCTATCAAACAGTAACAAAGATGTTTGGGGGCATTAAGATTTCCTCTTATGTGAATTGATCATGTATACCTTTGGCCTTTTTCCTATTGAAATCTATACTCCCCCCCCCCCCCCTTATTGAATAGTGGGACTTCTTTATTCTAGAATAGCAACTCTCAAAGTGTGGTCCAGGAACCATAGGGAACTTTGACATTCTTTTAGAGCATGTGCAGGTGACACCTGTTAGGTAGATTTTCTTTATATACAAGGGGGGGGCGGGCAAAAGTAGGTTTACAGTTGAGTATGCAAAACAGTTTTCTCTTTTACTATTACTTATTCATTATTGTATTATTTTCCATATGAACAACTGTAAAGCTACTACTTTTGCCCAATTGTGTACATAAACTAAATTATAATTGCAATAGATTAAACAAAAGCAGGTAAGGAATCCAACTGTATTCCTTTAAGCTACAGATTATAGAGATTTGGAAAAGTGTAAAACAAGAACATGCTTGTCATTAAACTTATTTTCTTTTTGTTTTTGAAAATAGTTATTTTTCAGGAAATATTTTTAGTAACATACAGTTGGTTTATGATTATTTATAATAATAAAAGTGTAATATGCTAATTAGACCGGACAGCCAAACGACCTTCCGGATGTCCTTCCAGACGACCCTCTGGATGAAGCTGGAGCTGTGAAGACCGAGGCAGCTGCCGTGGCTGTGAGGGCCAAGCCCCTTGCACAAATTTCATGCATCGGGCCTCTAGTTTAAAAGAAATTAACAAACATGTAGTAGTTTGGGATCCTCAAGTGCTAAGAGCATAAAATTGTCTTATTTTGAAAAGGTTCACAATTGTTCTAAACATTAATCCTTTGAAATTAATTGACATCACGAGTATCATTTTTAAGTCTGTGGCTTGTCTAGTAACTTTGTTTATGGTCTATTTTACTGTGTAGAAGATTTAAATTTAAAGGTATTTTTATTTTTTCCTTTTTTGTTTGTGTCTTTGGTGTCATATTGGGGAAATCTTCCATTCTCCCCCCCTCCCCCTCCCCCTCAACTTTGTTTTACTTCTTAAGATTTCACATAAACAGGAGTTTTATGTTTCTTTACATTTTGGTAAACCTCATAATTCAAGTCACTTAAGTTTTACTTTGTGTGCATGTGTGAGTATATATTTGATAGATTTGAGTTTTTAATAGTTATAGAATCCATGGTTTAACTTCTCTATTACTCTTGGTAAATTATAACATTCTAAATTGTCTTTAAGTTTTTACATTGGTTACCAAAATTTACTCACAGAATGATACTTTTATAAACACTATTTTATCTGTAGCAATATCAATTTTCTTCAGTGATTTTGCATGAGGTGGTCTATTTTGCTAGTTTGGTAAAAAACAAGCTATTGATTTTGTTGATTATCTTGCTTCTTTGTTTTCTATCTCAGTGAATTTGTATTTATCTGTATTGGTTACACTGTTTCTCTTTTCTCTTTTCTTTCTTCTTCTTTTTAATTGAGTTAAAAGCTTAGCTCATTTTAAACTCTTCTCCGCCCTATCTGAGCATGTGAGAATTTCAGTTCTCTTCTAAGTAATATACAAAATTTGACATGTAATATTCTGAAAGTGTGGTTTTTCAGTTTTTACTTCTCTATGTGCTTACAGAAGGCTTTCTTTCTCAATTGTAATGTTATTGATGTGTAATTTTATTTAATTTTCATTTTGGGTAAACAATTCTCTTTCTTTGGCTTAGAAATTACATCATTTATTGTAACCACTGACCTTTTTCTCCCAGGACACATGGGATGTTTTATCTGGTAAGTTTGGGAAGATTTAACTGACAGGGTAGATAATTCTATTTCAGACCATTTGGCTTTCATTTTAAGCATGCTACTCTAACTTCTAAGCTTTCTCCTCCAACTTTTCATTAATAAAATGCGATATTTTGACTCCTATTTGCTATTCTATGCCATACTCCTTCTTTTCAAACACAAGCAGGAAGGAGAGAGTTGTTTGCTGAGCCCTACCTTCTCCACTACACAGCAATTTTTTTTGTTTCATTTAAACTTCATTTGTATTCCCAAACTATGACATTTTATGCTCTGTGGTTCTTAAAAATGTCATGTATTGCTTGTATTTGGTGCATGGCTCTATACGTATGCACATATATACATACAGACATATAGATATGTATATTCAAATAGGTTTGTATCAGATAGAGTAATTTTTACCAGTACTTTTATTTATCAATTTCTGAAAATTTAGTAAAATCTCTCATTTTGCTGTAGGTTTATAATTTTTATTTATTAATTCTCTTGATTTAAATACATTGAGTATATTTTTAGATTCAGACATGATCAGAAGTGTTATAGGTATACAAATAATGAGCTCCTAATTGTCTCAGTTTTCTTTAGCCCATAAAAGTGGAAGACATTTTAACAATATTGAACATCTAATTTATGAAGAGTGGCAATATTTTTCTTCCAATAAATCTTTAAAATTTAGAATCATACCCTTAATGCAATTCTCAATCTTAAGTGAGATCTTGGCAAACTTGCTTATTTAGCAGAAAATTCTATATCTTGGGCTTTTGCTTATCAACAAAAAACTAAAATGAGTATATTTCATGAATTATACACTTACCATCACATGGTTTTGTCTCTAACATCTGCTCTGGGCACAGGTGTTGATTCTCTAGTTCTTGTATAATCACTGCTCTGGAACGGACCTGTATTCCACCAAAGCCGAGGTCCTCACCATTCACACAGGTCAGCTGACACAGGCTCCACGAAGACCAGTCCTTCAAATAACAGTCACCTGCAAAACACAGGTATGCAGTTTATACCCATACCCATAAGAATAGCCAGCCAAATAGTCATTTTATTTTTAACCCCACTAGGCAATGCCTGTTGGTATGCCGGTCATATTTGTAATATTTAGATAAGTAGTTGATATTTCCAAGTTTGTATGTAACTTTATAAATTTGTATTAATGTTGTTATTTTCTGAGTGGATGTTATGGGTATGGACTATGCATTGTGTAATGCCATCAAATGTAAACTACTGCTTAAAGGGGCTTGTCTGTTATGATTCCCCTCCTCTTAAGAGACAGCAAATACTTGATTAAAACCTACTACCACATTTGTCATTATCATTGTAAAGAGGTTTACAATAATAATTAATGTAAAGAGGTTTCTTTACATTATCATTGTAAAGAAAATCTAAATACGCATAGACGTCTTCTAGATATTCATCATTTCAAAAAGCTTGAAGTCTAAGTCTGAGAAAGCGGTATTTATGCTTTATGACTATTTCTTCCCAGAGGTGTGCAGCTGAGAGCCAAATGAGCAGCTGCAGGAGTGGCAATAATGCATGCTATTTCTTTGATCTACATTTTTAATTCACATTCCCTTTTTGTCAATTATTGTTTAAAGAATAACATGCTGCAATAATGCACATAATCATAAGCACACAGATAGCTGAGTTTTCACAACCTGATTATATACTCATGTAACCAACACCCAAATTAAGCAGCAGAGCATTCTCAGAATCTCAGAAAGCCCCCTCATGTTACATATGGAATTGTGCGACATGTAGTTTTTACAACTGGCTTCTTTCACTCATTCATGCTTGTTTGTGAGGTCCAGCATGTACATATGTACTTCTAATTTGTTCACTGTTATTGCGATACTTTCCTCCCATTGTAGGACTTACACAAGTTAGATATCCATTCAACTATTGATGGGCATGTGGAGAGTTGTAAATTTTTCCTATTATGAATATTACTGTTGTGAACATTTTAGTATGAATCTTTTGTTGAAGTTATATACATGCATTCCTACTGGGTATATATTTAGGAGTGGAATTGCTGGGCCATAGTGTATCATGTGTTTAACATCAATATCTTCAAGCACTTTGAGAACAGGGAGGATTTGTACCTTAATGAATTTTACCTTTTGCACCTTTCCCATATATACATCCATTATTCAGGACTGATTGCTGGATGATAATTGTTCAGAGGATACAATAAATTATGATAGAAAAATTCACAATGGGTTCTTATCACTTTAATTATTCCAGCTATATCACATGAATAATTCATATAGCCTTTCATTATGCTAAAGTTGCCTACTATTAGCAAAAAGTTGCCTGGATACTTGATTAATGAAAAAACTTCTTGTGCCATGATTAAGGAAGCCTAGAAAAACATGAATTATTGACTAACAAATACATACATATAATAGTGAAGTGGGGTGATCTTTTGTAGACTTTATTATAGTATGTCATTAATTCTCTAGTGTCATCCTGAAGGGTAGAAAATTCTTATAAATTTTGGAAGTGCTATGGAAAAAGAACTTAGTAAGAATTTTTAAGTAGTGTGATAACATTTTAGAAATATTTATATCCCCTAGGAAATGCTACTTTTGGGTAACTCAATTTTTAATTATGCAGGATAAATTTTAAAATTGAAAAATTCCTGTCACTATGAATGTATATAACTTCACCTCAGTGATTGGAAACTATATGGATATAAACATATCTTTCCACTAGTAGGCTTTATCTATGTGCTTATATCACTCAACACATGTGCTTTGTTAAAAAAACTCAAAAAATTGTTTAATGATAGTCTGTGAATGATACCATAACAACCCCCTAAATAATCCATGTCAGGCCTCAAAGATTTAATAGCAGCAAATGAGAGTGAGGCATTGTCTTGTACTGAACATATTTTTATATTTTGACTATATAAACCATCGAAATAATAAACTACACTATGCCTGCCAAAGATATGACAATTAAGTGTATTAAATGCATTTCCTACTTCAGTATTTCTCTCTTTAAAGCACATTAATTCAGATATTGCTCGCTTTCAAAACCCATCATTGAAGGAAACTATCACTGGAGGAACTGAAATGAATAAATTGTATTTATAAGAGAACAACAGCCTTCTCCCGGATTTGTAATTACTTTAATTAGAATGATGTGTTTGCCCTATCCTATGTTATTAAGGGATACTTCAGTTTTCCTTCCCATCATTTACCACATACTTTAATCTTATGTTTATTTATGTCATTATTGAATTAGCAACTGTTTCTCCCATAAGATGGTAAACTCTATGAGGACAGGGTAGGTTTGTTTCCCAATGTATCTCCAACCTTGAGCCCAGTGCCTAGTCTACAATGACTTTTGATGAATAATAAAGTGGGTGATTGTGCTGCAGGAAGTATAATGAAAATAAGTGGGGAGGCTCCACAATAAAGCATATGCTAATGCCTGGCAAGAATTCCAGTACTGCCCAATGTTGTGGGTGTAACAATGATCCTATTATTGGCACTGGAGATGTGGTGTTGGACTAGGTAAATCTTCCAACTTTTAGCTTCGGTCAGCTTTTGTTGACAATGTGGCTGTTCAACACATCAAAGCCCCAAGGTTCAGTCTTTGGTCCTGTGTAGAGTCCTTACCTGTTGCCTCAACCTCTGTCTGCTGTGAAGCAAAATGATTTTATTAGAGTATGTGTGAGACCTGGACTGAAATCAGGCCAGGTTGGGGAGCAGGAAATGGAACAGGGTAATTGCTGGATCAGGAAAAGGTTATTATTGGCAGGTGTGGGAATGTCTAAGAAGCAACACTTTGCCTAGGTCCGGAAATTCAGATTTTTTTAAAAAAATTTTCTTAACTGTAAGTAGATGAAAATATCAGTGTGTGCAAATATTATTACATATACACAGTAAGAAATGCCTTTAAAGTCTAGCACATAGTTTAAGGTATCAGGGGTTATTTTATTTACTGCTTTGTTCAATTTTCAGTTCATCTTAATAATAAGCTATAAAAATTGCCATTATTATCACCTCAAATAATTTACTTATTAGAGAATAAGTTAATTGATGAGTGAATGAATGGGCAACCCTTGTCACCGTTTTCAGCTTTCAGACACTTAATTCTATTTTAAAAATTTAAAAATTGTAACTTATCCTTCCTTAAAGCTTTCTTAAATTATATCCTTTTTATATGGAAAATATATTTTATGCCCAATCATTATTTGTTTACCAAACCCTCATTTTTATTTTTTTGAGATCTTATTCAAAGTAACACATTTCTTAACAGATATATTTTTTTCTTACCATTATTATAAGCAAATTGGGAGAATAAAAATTTCCATTTGAGAGTAAAATATAGGTAATGCACTTTCAATTTTGTTAATTTTGTTCTCTTCTAGTCCACTAATCATCTGTTGCCTCCATATCTTTCCCAAAGCCTTAGGCTCATACTTGATTTAAAGTTTATTTTGACCTTCTATCTACCCTAAAGTTCTCTGTATCAAGCCCAAATTCCTAAATATTAGCTTATCACTGTCTGCCAGTTAGTTTTTTACTATTTGATACACAACATTTGCTTTCCACATTTTATTGCATGCACCCCTCCTGTCCAACACTGCATCAGAATGATCGCTTTCAATGTTTTCTTCTGTAATATTATTTTTTCACTCTTGAATGATAATTTAGTTGGGGACAGAATTTTAGGTTGATGATTATTTTCCATCACATTTCAAATATAGTCAAATGCTGCATAACGATGGTTCGGTCAACGACGGACCGCATATACGATGGTGGTCCCATAAGATTCTAATGGAGCTGAATTTCCTGTAAGAAATGGAAGGATATATGGTTCAGGAGGAAATTTTTTTTTTTCTTTGAGGGGAGCAATATCTGTGGGGCTTGGCAACAGATTCCCTCTCACTCACGAGCACCTCAATTTTGAGTGTACAGATTACATCCCAAACAATCGATCACTGACCTGTGTCAGCACGGAGCCTGTCACCCTATCACAACATATTCAAAGGGCACTATAACCCTTCCAGATTTAGCCTGATGGTCTTCAGAGTGCATAGATGTAAATTCTTGTTGATCTTATACAAGGACACAAGGACACAGGAGCTACCTTTAAACAAGTTTTAAGGGCCATTGATGCTTAGTAAAGCTTTCTGTGATAGTGTGGAGCCAGTCTGTCCCTGTAATTTGGAAATATTCTCAGGTTGTAATAATGTAAAGCATAGATAAGTCTTACTTATTCCATCAACTCAATGCCAGAGAGAGCTTTTTGGGTTAGAAAGGGTCAATGGAACCAAGAACAAATTGTCAGAGTCAAAATATTGAGTCCTCAGTTCTACATCCTCTCCATGTTAAACAACCTCTATTTTTATGCAAACTACCAATTTCCTTAATTAGACCACTGCTCCAACCCAAACCACATGGCCATGACCACCCCCAAAGTTCCCTTATCTATCTTGACTTCTCATTCCTACTGATCCTCCGGCCACCTTTCACTGCCCCCTGACAGTCACTATTATGGTGAATTATTTATGCCTTGCCTAACAGTTTCTCCTCAACATTTTCAATCAATTCAGCCCACATCCCTGTTCATGGAGCAGCACTGATAGCTTTGATGTTCTATATCTGACCCTGTCAGAAGGAAGCAGGGGTGGACTTGTGGAACAGTGTTTATAAAGGCTACAGTAGTGTCCAGTAATGTCCTAGACCTTCACATTCACTCCCTGGCTCACCCAGAGCAGGCTCCAGTCCTGCAAGTTGCACTCAGGGTCAGTGCACTGTACAGGTGTGCCCTTTGAAATCTTTTACACAGTACTTTTACTGGGCCTTTTGTATATTTAGGTACAAAAATAAGATTATGTTACAATTTCCTCTGGCAACGTGCTGTACAGGTTTGTAGCCTAGAAGCAACAGGCTCTACCACATAGCCTCGGTGTGTGTAAGTGCAGTCTGTGATGCTCACACGATGACAAAATCCCTTAATGATGCATTTCTCAGAACATATCCGCAACTGTTAAGTGACACGTGATTGTATATTCCATTGTCTTTTGGCTTTCATTGTAACTAAGAAGAATTCTGCTATAATTCTAATTTTGTCTTCCAAAAGCAGGTAATCTGTGTTTTTTTTTTCTTTCTGAATACTTTAATAATTCTTTAGTTTTCTACATTTTCTGTTTAAACTACAGTGTACCTAGGTATGAATCCATTGTTGATCCTATTTAAGACCCAGAAGAAGCTTTCATTGTAAGTATTAAAATTTTTCTTTAGCTATTGTGTGTTTAAATGCTGCTTCTCTTATTTTCTATTCTTATTGTCTAGACATCCTAAATAGCTGTATTTTCCATTCTTATTTTCTCAACTTTTCTTTCATACTTTCCCTGTCAAACATGAGCCTAAGGCCTTTATTACCATTCCTTGCAGATGTTAAAACTCTAAGGGGGAGGGGTGTCCACATTGGCCACATGGGGGTCCTGGACTTCACCCCTACCTGGCAGTAAGTAGGCAATGCCCCCCCTCCATCCACATGACAGTGTCTGCCTGTTACCAGATATTATTGTACTGAGGCCTGGTGACATCCCTTAACTCAGACTATATATCTTGGTCCCGGACCAGGTAAGAAATGATCAAAACATAAATGATGTTTTGCTGTTGTTACCTGGGCAAGGCTGAGTGCAGGTTTCCTCTAAGACCATTTTTTTATTACCCTCTATAATGGGTTCAACATCAGCACAGAACTCTTCATCCACCGCTTTGCTGAGATCATCAACTGACCCATCACTCACTACACAAGAAATGTTTCTTGTTCTGGTCCCTTCTCCACACTGGGCATCCTGGAATGAAGAAAGAAATAACTAATTAGGAAAAGAAAAATAATTCATTAGTGAGCTCATCACTTACAGTCATCTCTGCACTGTGGGTTTTGATTTATGAGCAGTTAAGGAAGTACTTGAAACCCTAGGGAAGAAGTCCTATAGGAGCATACGATGAACAATGTATTTGTTTTCTAGCCAAAAGCAGGCCAATAAATTTTCATTAAAACGAATCAGTCTCCAAATGACTTAAAAAAATACAGGACAGGGAGTGCTTGTTATCCAAACTAATTAAAGTAGTTATGAAACAGCTAGGCTCCTAGAATCTTCAAGAGGAAACATTCTGAAAAATGAAAATTCCGAAACTGTCTCCACACATAAAGAACACACATTTCCACACACCGTCCTGGGATTTGATACCTGCACTTGGCATGGAGACCACGGGCCATATTGCCACCGATAACAGGGCTTTACTGGGCAAGGCTTGGACTGCTCCATCAGGGCAGGGCACGGTCTTCCGTCACCCTGAAAGGGCTGTGTAACTGTCCGTCTTCGGATCATTTTCCCTTTAAGAGACACAGAGGGACGCAGTGTTAATGATATGCTACTGTTGCGCAGCAGGTATTTTATGGGGAGAAGGTGTGCTAGACTCTCCTGAGGAGATCTGAGGAACAACTAAGTCTCAGGTTATTTGGAAAGAAAGACACCTTGATCCGACCTTACTGAAGTTTATTTGATGTGACTGAAGGCAAGAGGGACATTTTATCTCCGATTCTTTGGCCATCAGCTGAACGCTAATGAAGGTACAAACTAACCTGTGAGGCCACATGTTTGAGAACATTGGGACCACGGGGACCACTCGGACAGCTGGCAGTTGACAGGGCATTCCACCATGCAGGATGTGTTCATCTGCCAGGTCTTCTCCAGGCCCAGCTGAAAGGACAGAGGCAGATCTGTTTGCATTGACATGAAGGCATGGCCACAAGGTATGGCTGATGGAAGGAGGAAGAAAGGAAGGGATAGAAGTTGGGATGACAGGAAAGGAGAGAAGAGAGGAAGAAGAAGTAAGATGCCTAATAGAATAAAAAGATGTCTAGAGGAAAAACACTCACACCGTTAAAAACATAGAGAATGGGAGCTAAGGTCATAGGTTAAATGGAGGAAACCACCTACTTGAGATACTTATATAGTGTTACTTTTCAAATATGCAATGAATAAAAGTAGATTTAATCTCCAAATAGGTTGAGTTTCTCTAAGTGAGGAACAAATAAGTGTAAGGATGACTATTTTCCATTAGTTAAAAACCAAGAATGTCATCAATATATACATCTGTAATTGTATCTTTGGGACAACTTATTTTTATATGTGCATGTTAAACAGAAAAGCAAAAGGGAAAGGTTTTCAAGACAAATTGCTACTCAAAACTAATGACATAATTTAGTATTGAAATACTAAAAAATATCAGTTTTTAGCACACTAGCTCTCTAAAAACTCTGGGTCACTAGACTTTTTTGATTAATATTTTATATATATATTTTTAATTACATAGATTTTTTTCTTCTAAAACTGATCTCAAGCTAACAGTGATATAATTCAACTTAGTTTTAGTCTCTCATCAGAAAATAACATCGTGCCATTGTATTGGCACTGAGTTCCAACATTTATTCACATATTTTACTTTTAAAATATAAGATGAGATTTCAAACTCATCTACTATATATGCAAACATTTAGAAAGTCTAAGGTACAAAGTAGCATTGAAATAGAAAAATTTAAGTGCATGTTAGAAGAATGTAATTTTTTAAAAAAATATATATTTTTATTGATTTCAGAGAGGAAGGGAGAGGGAGAGGGAGAAAGAGGGAGAGAGAGAGAAACATTAATGATGAGAATCATTGATTGGCTGCCTCCTGCACACCCTCTACTGGGGATGGAGCCGGCAACCTGGGCATGTGCCTTTGACCGGGAATCAAACCTGGGACCCTTCAGTCCACAGGCTGATGCTCTATCCACTGAGCAAAACGGGCTAGGGCAGAATATAGTTTCTCAATTTGATATTCCCTGGGATTTTCTAGACCTTTTTTATTTTTGTATGAAAGATTATGAGGTGGCAAAAGAAAAACTTTCTGAAATGTTATGCTGTGGTTCAAGTATAGCTCTTGGCTCTAAGTTACCCACTGAGAGAAGCTCAGATCAAGGATTTGTGTACATGCCTCTGCAGGAGCTCCCGCGTATTCTCCACTGGTAATACTTGACAAAGAGGAGCATTTGGTATGAAAATTTTTACCGTATCACTTACATAAAGTCTCCAAGTCACTTAAAGTTATGGGAGGCTAAGGATGCAGAGGCCCTCAAACTTTTTAAACAGGGGGGGCCAGTTCACTGTCCCTCAGACATTCCACACATGCGCACTGCAGGCCCGGGATGAGTCGGCTGTTAAGCAGGACAGGCAGCGGCAGCAAAAACACCTGGCGGGCCGGATAAATGTTTTCGGCGGGCCGCATGTGGCCCGCGGGCCGTAGTTTAAAGACCCCTGGATTAGAGTCTTAGGTGATATGATAAAAATAATGTGTTATAGTTAAGGTACATTGCATTTTCAAAGAGAGAGGGTTTGAATCATAAAATTGGATTACTACTAACTTATTTGACTAGAAAATTAAAAAGGATGTCTATTTACAGATATTCTGAGTATCCATTACTGAGACAGTTTAACCCTGTCCTACTTTTTTCTTTACACTTATTGCATTTCTTTTTTCTGCCTATTATCTATCTATCTATCTATCTATCTATCTATCTATCTATCTATCTATCATCACCATTTATATAAACTTGTTTAATAAAAAAATCTGCTCAGGGATCAAAGAATAGGAAAGGAGAAACCAATTACTAGGTATCAGGTGAGTAAATGTCTGAAAAACATCAAAGACAAAAATACTGTATAAATACTGGATGGGCTTAACCCCAATTTTCTTCTTTGTTGGGTAGTAATGCCATTTTTCTTTTCAGCTGTTAGAGAAACAGCAAGAGTTGGCTACTGCTGTTGCACTGAATGCGGGGTTTTCACACGTATTACCAGGCAGGCAATCCATCCACAGTTAAAGAGAGAGCCAGCTTTTCTCAGGGCTGTTATTTAATCCTACGGCATCCATGGGGATGGCTAAATGGGATATGAGTTGTTTAATTCAATTCCTGCGGCGAGGAGTACTGTTCTCCCTGAAGACAGCGTTTGCTACACTGTTATAATTTAAGTCCCTAATTGTCATCGCAGTATTCAAACATAACAATATTTGTACATAGAGTAAACTTATCTAGTCTCCTGGATTCTTAAAATTAGTTATTTGTCAGGTTTTTATTTAAATTTTACTTTAGAAGTAAGGACCCTTTTTGTACCTTTGTCCTGTAGTCATATGAGCTATTTTAAAATTGGTCTTATATGATTGGGGTTTAGCTTTCAAAAGCTCTCAGAGCTTACTCATTGTATATTACATTCCGACTCAGGAGGGCATTTATATGCGAATTTGTAAGAAAAGAGACATGTTAATCAACTAGAAGCAGATCACAGAAAACTCTGCAGCCAGCATATGACTATAATAATATTCATTAATAATAATATTATTTTTTAATAATGGTTCCATTACTTTAATGTTATTAGTTTCAAAAGTGATTCAGATATATAATTTCTAATTAAATCGAAAGTATGAATAGACTAAGTTATAAGATGATAGTGAGAGAAATTTATTAACTAGACAACTTGTGTCCGGCACATTTGGGAGCTTTGTTCACATGGACAGAGACATGAAGAAATTAAATTAGGTCTATGTGATAAAGGTATCAAATGGATTAACATGTTTCCACCTCGAGTTTTCCATTAGGAGTCAGAACAACTTACTGTGGGCATATAGCAGCCCCCAGGGTGTGCAGTCAGAGGTTGTGGTCAGCATGTCTACTGAGCCCTAATGAGGTCATAAGTTCTTCCTGTGTGTTCTAGACATATCGAGGCTTCTGTTTATCTTGGTTCACGTTTAACCCAGTTTGTCTCAGACGCAGGAGTCTAAACTTCTCAGGAATGTGAGTACCCTTCGTCTGGAAACCAGACAATATAATTAAACTGTGAAGTGTAGCTTCCTGAAAACTAAGAAAAGCCAACAACTGTTTTCTCACATTGCATAGGGTCCTATCTAGAAATGATGACATTATTTTTGCAAATTGAAGAATTTAGAATGACTATTCTTTGTACCTGAAAGATACTAATGGCAGACTCCATTCCCTTATTTGAATTCCAAGCTCTCTCTCCTCCACACCTGAGTGCTTAGACTCTCACAGCTGGGTATCAGATCCTAATATCAAAATCTGCTACAAAACCACATGCGATCAATGTTTAGCAACAGAGAGAATGAATGATGGATCTTGGCAGGTGTCCCAGGCAACACAAAATTCAAATGAAATTACAAAGATGATGAGTAGTCTGATTAAGATTTATTGCCTATATTCACCTTGATTACTTATTGTTCCCCAAGCATTTCTTTCAGAAAAAGGTAATTAGCATACCTCTGGGCTCCAAGCAGAACAAAATACAGGAAATTATGTGTAGAAATCAGTAATGTTGGATAGTGTCTCTTGTCAAGAGGGTGCTTAACAGCCTTTGAATAGTGCAAAAAAAAACAACAAAACATCTGCTGGCAACGAGCTGCGTGGTGCACAGGTCACTTGGCTCAGCATGAATGGAAATTATTAGGAAAGAATTTACTCACAAAGAAATAACACAGCATCCCCTCACCTCCTCACAATATTTCGGGTCAACCGACTTGCCATCACTTCGAACACAGTCCAACATCCTTGTTTTAATGCCATTTCCACAAACTGCCTTCTCACTCAGCTGACACGTACTCCAATCTGCAAGGAAGAGAGCCCATCAGAACAGAAGGCCATACATGAAACAGATTTCAAATGAAACTCTGATGACCGAATCCCATATTTAATTCACAACTGCTTCTTAAGCCCCACAATCAATCATCCCACATGCAGAGCATATGGGTCCCGGCTCTGAACGTATCAGGAGTCAGATGGAATTGCCAGGGTTGCATATCGCTACAGGGATTTTTCTAGAAGGCAGATGTCTACTTGACCGTCTTGATAGCCATTTGGTGATATTGTAAAAATGGGGTTGGCCTGCAGATCAAAAGTCACTTAAAAATGTTTTTTTCCTAATAAAAGCAGAAATTTCAATTTTAACGTTGTATTTGTTTTAGCAAAATAATCATAATTTTAATGGATAGTACTTGCACTGGGCTATGTTTGAATAAAACACTGTATTTCACTTCCATACTTAGAATGTTTTAAAATATGCACTTATTTCAAAATCTTTTTGGTCACATTTATTTAATTCTCTCATTTCATGTCTTTTTCAAAAGAATCCTTTCATCTCTCTTTTTAGAGTAACCTAGCATATCCCCAAGAACTGCAATTTCCTTGTGTCATCAAAGAAAACTGAAGAGAAAAATCAAAAGGAACAAAAACCAACCTGACTGCTGCGTATCATTGTACCATTTCTGTACTTTATATCACTGTGAAAATTACTTGAAAAAATTCCAAAATCAGCTTCAGTGTTTCCCCAAGCCATATACACCAACAACTCTTCTTTCTTACAGTATGTACCTTGATGGTAAGTGGCAAGGATTAGGAAAAAAATTGACTTTAAAATAAGCCTTTTTTCCTGAAAAAATAATCACCTCCCATTTTTATCTGCACCTTTGATCATATTGAAATAGTTATATTTATATATTTTTTGGCAAGGGTGGGCTTGCTGTTGTTTTTACATTGGATCAATCATGCTTATGAAGGGCCCTCACACAAAGAATTGTTGTCACAGTACGTTATCGCAATTAAACAACTCCTGAAGAAGAAAGGCCTCTTTCAGTAAACCTGATACCCACAGGAACGTTACCTTAGTCACACCTTCCCAAAGTGGGAGGATGTCTTAAATAGGACGAATCAGACTATTCACAATCTACTGTCGGGCTAATGTTTGTGTGATATTTTCATTACCTGTATCTTGATATTTATTAAAAATATAGTAGATAAATATCTCTGTCATTAATAAAGAACAATTTCTGGCAGCATGTCCAAAAGGCACACAGACGGAGATGAACAATTCTCACGGATCGCTGCTAAGCTAACACACGCAGGCTTCGGCCTTTAACTCTGTGATGAGATGACGATCCACCTACCTGTTACATTATAATCATAGTGGAAGCAGTTTCTGTTCAGGTTACAGGGTTCCTTCTCAACAGCATCAGGGCAGACTCTTCCCTCATCAGCAGGTTGTCTGATGGGATCAGCTGACCTTTGCCGGAAATTGCTTTGATTGCAAGGCTGACAGAGAATAACACAACTCCTCAGAAAGGTGAATACGCAGGCACATGAGGGCTAATGTGTTAGGGAGAGCGCTGGAGCAGGAGTTAGTGCGCTGGGGCCACTGACTAACTGGAACAATCTCATTCCACTTCATTTTCTTCTGTGTGATCAAAGTGTTGGTGAGCTTCTGATCTAACTACAAGATGCTTAAGAGTCTATGTGTCAAATATTAATAGACACATATCATAGGTACACAAACACATTCATATGGCCATATTAATTATTGTAGATCACGAATACAGACATTATCTACCTACCTACCTACCTACCTACCTACCTACTTATCTACCTACCTACCTACTTATCTAATACAGTCTGTTGGTCCCAAAAAACCATTTTAAGGGTAACTGTAAGTAACTAGCTGTTAGTGATACTTATTTTCCTAAGGCACATATACATATGCACAGAAATACACAAGCAGGTAAAAGATTGGCTTGCATTTTCCTACTGGTACAGTCATGTTCTGAAAGCATTTGGCTTCTAAGAACAAGAGCAGTAACTTCAAACCTGATGTTAATGGAATGAGATCATTTGCATACCCTTGTGAAACAGTTGATTCTTTATTACAATTTAACTGCATCCAAGTCAACTGCTAGCCCTGTTTTGTTCCTGCTCTATCATTTGGCTGCTAATCAGCACCTTTAGTAATGTTAACACTGAAATAGAAATTTAATTTTTCCTTGAAAACATGAATTATAAATGTTTTGAAGCTGTTCTGTATTGTATCTCAGCAAATTAATTCCACATTTCATGCAGTTTCCCTATGCTTCTGAAGCCATTTTGAAATGTGCAGCTTTACAAAGGTGCCCAGGGGTAAACCCAATTTTCTACATCATCAGCCAGTTCTGTTTCAAACGATTCTCTTCCCAGGGTCCCATGGAAGAGCCCCTACGGGCTGCTGAAATCTAGAAGCTTTTGTGTGATTTGAAACTCTCAGTTGGCTTCCCAGGCCCAAAGACACACAGAGTCAGTGTGTGGAAAGAGATTCATTGACGTGCAGCTTTCTTCTTTCTACTCTCTCTCTCCAGGATCATTTGTGCTTTAGTGTCAATACTCCTGCTGCAGAACCCCCACTGGGTGAAAGATTATTCCTACAATTTAAGTAAAATGGATTGGGCAAAAAGCAAGGGATGACAATAACCTGACACCATTAAAGTACTTTTACTAGAGGTTTATTCTTTGTCCCCGTACCTGGAGGGAGTCATTATCACCACTGCAGTTCTTAACCCGCTGTGTATTTGTAAGCCCATCTGCAGGCTTTCTGTGCTGGGTTAGGAGGATGGTGGAGTACAAAGCTTGCAAGAGGTCAAACTGTTCTAGTGTGAGTGGAAATATTGCTGATTTCACATGGCACAGTCATAGAATGAAGTAGCCAAGAAAATACACCTTGCTTTGGGAATTTGGTAAGTAATTTAGAATAATTTCTTTAAAACTTTAGTGGTGCCCTAGCCGGTTTGGCTCAGTGGATAGAGCGTCGGCCTGTGGACTCAAGGGTCCCAGGTTCGATTCCGGTCAGAGGCACATGCCCAGGTTGCGGGCTTGGTCCCCAGTAGGGGGCGTGCAGGAGGCAGCTGATCAATGATTCCCTCTCATCATTGATGTTTCTATCTCTCTCTTCTTCTCCCTCTCTGAAACCAATAAAAAATATATTTAAAAAACAAAACAAAAAACAAAGCAAAAAAAAAACTTTAGTGGTAATGAATTAAGCAACCTCTATGTGAATGAGTGGCTAATCGTCTCACCAAAGTGCATCGAGTCCACGGACCCCACTCGGATATCACACAGTCCTCAGGACACGGTAATTTGCACTCTCTGGAACCCAGGGGCATCTCCTCTGGGTCACAGAGGTAATCCTCTACATGCTCAGAAGGGCCATCCGCTGTGTTCTGCATGCATCTGCAAGAAAGCATACCTATCAATGCAGGTACCAGGACAGTTAGTAAAAAGCCAACCCATAGAATAGAAGGTGCATTTTAAGACATCATTGTGGGGCAGGGATGGCTGCAGTGTGGAAAGCTTTGCATTTAATGAATAAAATTCTTCAAACATGAGGACATAAAAGGATCTCTGCCTCTCATAAATATTCATAGAGCTTTGGTATGATTTTAAAAATTATCCTTGTAGGCATCATCACAATTTTTAAAAAGTATAGTCACTGTGGCCAGCTGGTGTGACTCGGTTGGGCGTTGTCCCATGCACCAAGAGGTCACCGGTTTGATTCCCCTGTCAGGTCATATGCCTGGGTTGGGAGCTCAATCCCTAGTAGAGTATATCTGGGAGGCAGCCTATTGATGTTTCTTTCTCATCTCTCTCTTTTCCTTCCTCTCTCTCTAAAATCAATAAAAACATTTTAAAAAGTATAGCCATGATGTGTATATAAACTCTACATGTCTTCCTCTGAAAGGAGAGGGTCATTTATCTAGACCAATGAGAAGTGGTCCAAAGAGATTCATAGAGGGGTTGTAACTTGGGAATATAATGCACTTTTTTCTTCTGAATAAAATGGTAGATTCTATAGTGAAGGTAGACTCATACATGAAGGAAGACCAGTCACACTTAAATCACACTTAAATAGGGACAGAACTGCATTGCAAGAGATGAAAAGGAAGGCTTGAGCTCTTAAGCCTCTCAAATCCATTGTGATGTTTTAAACTGTGAGTAGAATTACATTACTAATTATACCTGAAATCTCAACTATTTTCAGGAATTTGCAATCAGTAGGGACATTGCATCTTCTCATATTTACTCTGCAGAATAACCCTCTATATAGTGCTGCCTAATTTTAAAAAATGTTGTTTGCCTGTGTGATGCATTCAGACTAAAAAACTGTACTGTTGCTCCTGTCTTAAGTAGCTTTGTAGCCGGAAAAAATATCTATACAAATAACCTCCTCTGCATTTTTTTTGGTAAATTGCATAAAAGAGCAATTGCAAAACCACACAAAGGTAGATGTCTGATTTCATTGTTGAAAGAAAAATTAAACTATAAATGTCTGAGAAAATTTTAGTTTCTCAGGAAAAAGTTCCACCTTCAATGGCATTTTTCAAAATGTTCTGCTGACAGCAGCTGTGAGAGGACACGGAACAAATGGGACAGTTCAATGCTCAGAGTTGAATTTGCTGCTAAGAAAACACTGCATCCATGGCAGGTACTGACACAGGTACAAGGATCAACTCGCAAAGTTACCTATTGATTCAGAGTGAAGGACAGATGTTCAATACTCTATTATGTAGTTATATACATAAAAATCCATTTTCAAAGGTTTTTTCTTCCTTTAACTTTTATTATGCAGGTAACATATTAATTTTAAGAAAATAAGAATAAATAAAATTTCACATAATTCTATCAGAGATAACCACTCTAAAAATATTATATTTAAATATATATTTTCATTTCGTTAAATAAAAGAAAACATCGCTATTTGTACCATTTAAGAAAAAACTACACCAACTATATTTTATAGACATCTATTCATGTTGTTAACCTTTTTCTAAGTTATTCATTTTAATGACTACATTTGAATTCCATCACTTGAATGTGCCACAATTGCTAAAAACCCTTGCTGTTGACATTCAAATTATTTATAAGTTTTATTTATTTTATTTTGCGTTAATGATTTTATTACTCTAGAATGATAATAAATATTTGGATCAAGTTTTGACCTCAAAGGAAGACCCTATAAATTCATTTGCTCTTTTGAAATTCTTGGCCTTTTCTTTTTCTATATGAGAGGAATTATGCTGTGAGAAAACGGAATTATATCCAGAAACATAGTACAGACTCAAGTTGGAGGCCACAGGTGTAGGAAAGGAGGTGCATTGTCAGCAGAGAATCCAAAAGCAACAATAAAAATAACCAAATAGCTCTGTTTTTATGATCACAATGTGCTGGCACTTTAAAAAAATGCCAGTGAAAAAATATCTCTTCCCACCAGAGCAAATCACTTTTATCACCCAACCTTTGAAATGTCATACCACCCTAAAAGCAAAAGAACAAGATGGAATATGCTGAATCCTGTTCTCAAAGACTCATGTATCCGAAAATGTCACCCAATGCTTGCATCTAAGCAGGACGTTTTGACCTTAATTAGCTGAGGATAAGGTTAGGGAGGTCCACTCCTCAATCAGTACAGAAACATTATTACATGATCAGAGATGACAATCAATGCTGACCTTTTCTCTTCTCTATTTTCATTAAAGATGTTTACTGGAAAATAAATTGATCTGAAAAGTTACTTAGTTTAGGATGTGTTTGGAAATATTCAGAATATTTATTCACAGAGAAAAATGAAGCAACATGTACAGAGATAGTTGTAGGGAAAGCTGAAAGAATAGTTGTTCTTTATTATATACTAGAGGCCTGTTGCACAAGATATTTGTGCAGTAGGTCTTCCCTTCCCCTGGCTGCTGGCACCGGTTTTCCTCCGGCACCTGGGACCCAGGCCTTCGCTGCTCCAGCTGGAGCATTCTGTCTTCGCTGCTCCAGCCGGAGCCTTCCGTCTTCACTCCGCCACTTTGCGCCTACATATGCAAATTAACCGCCATCTTTGTTGGGTTAATTTGCATACTCTTCTGATTGGCTGGTGAGTGTAGCTGAGGGACGGTCAATTTACATGCTTGTCTATTATTAGGTAAGATATTTGTTACTAACCAAAACACCAACCTGATCAAATTCTTAATATAAGAAAAATATTTTTAAATTCAAAGTGAAATTTTAAATTATGGAGAAGAAGGGCAGAAGCATAATTTATTTCTTTTTCTTCCCTGTTCCCTTATCAACTCATTACATCCTCTTCACCATCATCTTAGAAAAGTTCCTCTGAAAAATAACTTTAGAGTTCAGATGGGCTTTTGAAAAAAGAAACAGAAATTATTTTTATTGGAAGCAAAGTTGTACATAGTGTGCCAGGGTTTTAAGATATAAACATTAATTTGTCCTACTTTTCTACTGAAACAGATTAAAAAATATGAATCTCAAATTCATGAGTAGTTAGGTCATGGGTGAGAATGAGCTTCTTCACAAAATGAGTTATCAAGTTCTGAATGTTTTTATATTTGTCTTTACTGTGTGCCACTCAGCTGGGTTAGAAGAAATTGAGATAGTTAAACAGTTGACAAGAGACTTGGGTTTGAGTGCCAACGCTGTCACTTTAGTAGATACCTGTTCTTGGTGAATCAGTGTTTGTGAATCTACTCTACAAAGTGGAAATAATAAAACCTCATACATTTGTTTCCCTGGTTCCAGAATCCCTAAAGATCATATGCAGAGGCTGTAGAGAAAATTTAATGAGTGTCAAACTTGCATTGGGTGTTAGGGAGTTTCTGTGATTATGACAGGGTCTCAGCATGGAGAAACTTATGGAGATTAATAATAGTAAAAAGATCTTTCCGTAACAATGCGGGGCATAAGGGTACTACAGAAAAACGCTGCTCAATAGAGCTCTCTGATGATGGAAATACTGTGCTGTCTGAGAGAACAGCCTCAAACCTCCCATGGCTATTGAGCTCTTGAAATGTATCTAGTGTGACTTAGAAAACACATTTCTAATTTTAATTCATTTAAATTTAAAGTGAAAATAGCCAAATATGACTATGGTTACCCTACCAGTCAGTATGGCTGCAGAAGAAGAAATGAGGGGCATTAGCCAATGCTGTTTTAGGGAAGGCTTCCTGAAACAGAAAAAAGTATTCAAAAGTTGGCCAGTTTGATATAAAAGAGCAAGAGTTTATGACAAATTCCTATTAAAATGCAGCCAGAAATATTTTTGGCCTTTAAGGAACAAGTCATTGGGGTTTGAAAATCAGCATTGGTTCAGCTCTCCTGCAAGAAAAGCACCTCAGAGCGAAGCTTCCCAAATCAGAAGCCGAACATGATAAACTGCTGCTTGAAGCAGATCTTTTAGAGTTTTCCATAAACACTGATTCCCTAAAAATAAAACTAAAGTCCACTTATTAGGAGGTTGGGAAGGAGTGAATGCTCAAGTTGGCAGGTATGAAACTGGGAGGTTTGTGTGTTTTGCTTCCCTATGTAAATCGACGTGGCCTCACCTCACTTTTCGGGTTTGCACGCCCCCTCCGCAGTTGTCTGGCATGTTCACAAAGGTCACCTTGCACACGCTCCACGGCTCTGTGACCCATAGGTACTGGTTGCAGTCACTCTGGCAGGGGACGACCTCATACACCTGAAACACACACAGTTCCCAGTGATCTCATCTCAGGTACCTGATGAGAGTGGGAAGATTTTACATCACAATAATCATTATATACATATTTTAGCTACTTTCATTTCTCTCCATTATTTGATATTTCTTGAGAGTTCTAGCACTAAAAAGGACAGAACTAGCTGTGCCCTTTGCCCCATTGTAGTTGTCGATCCACATTTAGTGAGACAGCACAGGGACTGGAGCCCGGGACTGAAGGAATACCAGATGGCCGGAAGGAACACTGGATAAGCTGACTACAAAAATGTCCCCACCCCAGCTTCTCCTTGACCAAGAACGAAGTAGGCTTTCTTTTCTCCCTTCTAACCACTTCCTTGCAGAAGTGAAACCATTGTTCTGCACATGCAGTTGCTCAAAGTTTGACTGCTATGGTATACACCGTCTGGGATGGCAGTAGTGAACAGTCCAGCTGCCAAGACAGTTGCTAAGCAACTAGACAGCAGGAGGAAGTCGCTTGACCCTGACATGGAAAATTTCACAAGTTAGCCTTTTTAAAAAACACCCACCTTTGTGTGCAAGTCTGCCTTGTTTCCAGCTTATAAAAGCTGCCAAACAGAGGCAGGCCCCCACCGCCACCCGCTCCCCCCCACCCCCCCGCAACCAGTAAGTTTGGAGGACCTTCCTTTTCTCTGTGCTGCCTACCTTGTGTTTGAATATCAGCTTAGTAAAATTTGTCTAGAAATTTTTCTGGTGGTTCCCCCTGATTTCTATCGTGGGAAACCCAAGGGCCCCAAACTCCATAACATTCCCACAGTATTGCAATTTCCTAGGCCATCGGTCTTGTTTACAGTGTTGTGTGTCTTCAATACTTACCCCAGGGTACTCATATGTTAGACAATCTATACAGATTTGTTAAATAAATGAATGAATAACAAATGAATGACTTAATTAAATAGTGTATAAAAGTAGCGATTTTCAAATAATTGGGCTTGTTTATAAAATATGTGCAACAACCAAAACTTGTATTTTTTGTGCTCCATTTATGAAACTAAATTAAAAGATAAATAACATGAAATAAAGCTATCTTCAAACTTTAGTTAGGGCTTGGAAGCAAGGTCTGAAACTGGGTCTCACATTACACAGCTACAGCCTACAGCAGGGAAGGCCACTTGAAACAAAGCAAATTGTGCACTGTATCCATACAAGCTTTCACAGCCCCAAGTCTGAGGTGTTTGTTTGGTTTCAGGATTTTTAGAACAATGAACAAGGATGCCTTTTTTTGCAATCAGAAGAATGACTAAATAAAGGAAATGAATAGATCACAATCCACTGCAATAGAGGTGAGTCAACCATTATAGAAAAAGTGTTTAAAAATCATTTCAAAATCTATAATTATCCACCTCCATCTCTTATTTTACACACACATACACACACACACACAAAAGCATATGAATGCTTATATAACCAATTACAGATAATATAGATTTAAATAGCTCTTTGGAGCTATTCTTTTGTGTAAATTTTAGTGGACTAAACACCCAATTAAAGTGACAAAGTAAATTTATGCCATATAATAATAAAAAATATGCACTGTTGAAGTGAGAATCTATATTTACTGTCATATGATCACATTCATATTGGGAGCTGTGTTCAGATATGACTGATTTCTGGTGCAGAAAACATTACAATTTGTGGAGAAGGAACAAACCGAAGGGGAAATGCCATCTTTCCTGGTCCTTCGATGGCTTGCATGTTAATCTCTTACACTGGAGTGAATACAGATCAGTTCAGAGCCGCCTCCTGCCACCCACTCGTTGTCACCTGCACCTTTACCTCCCCCTGGGAAGCATGAGATCATCAGCAGGAGGTGTCAGTGCCTTTTCAAGGCTGAGGCTGGTGAAGGAAAGCTTGTTTCCCACCCCTGCACCTCAGGCCCTGATTCTAAGATGAGAAAACACAGGCACCGTGCTAGGAAATAAAAAGGGAACAATGGCAGAACACAAATTTTATGAAAAATATGATATCTTCTCCCTGTAAAATAAGAGGCAATTGTAGAAAAAAAATACATTCCCTGAAGTCAGGCGTAAAACAGGAGATAAACAACACTCTGTTATGAACTGTGAGGTTTAAGAGTTCTTACCTGGGCCTGGAGTGGTTATAGTCCACACGAATCAAGACAGGGGGAGAAGCAAAGAGAAGTAAAATGTCAGTATATTGAATGAGAAGAACTCATGCTTCAAGTTTCAAGTATTATTATCCCTATAGAAAAGACATTATTATTATTATTTTTTTTTTTTGCGGGGGAGATAAGGAGTAAATAATTAGAACAATTTTCTCAGGCCCCGGGAGAGAAAAACCAACTCACTGTTTAAAGGTAAGATACACTAATAACTACTGCAAACAGCAGAGTCACGGAAAATATTAGGTGGGCAGAGTACAGACAACTCTGACAATGGCGTAGACCTCAACATACTTATCATACTGATCATAGGGAACTGACACAGAGCTGCAAATGTCCTGTGCTTCAAACTGTGAATGGTTATCTATTTATAGATTGATTGATTGATTGATTGACTGATCGATCTATCCATCTTCATCCATCCATCCATCCATCCATCCATCCATCCATCCATCCATCCACATTTCGTAAGAAATGAGGATTTGCTTCCTCAATGGGAAAATAGAACCTCAAACACCATTTTCAAGTCAAAGTACCACTGATTATATTGAGGAATATTTAATTGTAAAAAAAGTCTATGTGACTTCAACATTTTTCAACATTAACACAAACCTCTGCATATTCTTTGCTCTTCTAATACGTTACTAATATATAAATTCTTAAAAGTTTATTTTTATAAATGAATTATTTCTTGTTTTAGCTTTGATATTTTAGTTGTTAAAGTCTCAATACACCACCAGTACGTTGTTAACAGATACCCAGATGTCCTTTTCAAACTCTGCATTAGACTACATTAAAGTTGGAGAGTGACAGAGAAATGGCTTAGAGGAAAGACTTTTCATATCAAAGACAATTTGGCATGAGGTCTTGAATCTTTTCAAATTCACCATTAAAGAAAATTTCTCTTTATTAGAACCATGACCAAAATTTAATAAAATTTACATTTACTATTGGAAATTCAAGATTTCAAAACTCACAGAAAAGTGTTGTTTTGTATTACAAACATTACAGTTGAGTTATTCTGTTTCACTTGGGTCAAGGAGCTACATCTTTTTCTTTAGAAGCATTCCCAAGCACAGGGACGCTCGATTACCAATAGATGGCAGCAGTGCAGTATATTACTAACTTTTAGTTGAATTTAAGGGCAAATTTAGCTACTTGGGGAAAAATCCAGATTCTTTCTATAGAATTTAATTCTATACTTTCTTAATCCTAGTCCCTTTATTCATAAGTTCTTTTTACTCTCTCTACAGTGTACTTTTATTGCTATGAACAAATTTAGGTTAATTTGGGAAGGAAAGTTTGGGTCCTGGTAGGCAGTGTGTTTGGAGATTAAAATTAGTCTATGTGTATATGAACTATATCTATACATTTATGGTTGGTTCATACATATGACATGGTTCATTTGATTGTGACTTAGATTTAAATATACATCTTTAACATCTACACAGACTATATAAAATTCATTCTTTGTTCATTCACATGTAGGTCAAACATGATAATCATTGTCTGATGTATCTTATGTTACATTTAAATTAGTTGCAATTTCCTCTATTAGCCTTTTACTTTATATTTCCAACAAAACACACAACTATTAATAGCAACTAATAAAGAGCATCTGAAGTCAAATAAAGTTCAAAATAAGATTTAAAAGGCCAATGACTAAATTGATAGATATACTTACAGTGACTCTGAGGCCATTTAAAATTTTAAAACATTTTATATCAACTAATTTTAAATGAATGAACAGTGTATCTTCCCTAACATTAGACCTGAACCTAAATACTTTCTTTGATTTTAATTTAAGTGGTTGGTAATTGAGATGTCTTCTTTGAGAGTCCTAGGGAACTCTAAGAATGATACAATCTTGCTCTTAATACACAAGTTAGATATAATTTTATTACAGGTTAAATACCTCGACATTATTTCAAAGGGAGGTTTCATTAGATTTCCATTGCATTATATTCAGATGCATATATACGCAGGGTACTGGATCGCTTGAGAATACAGAGATGATATATCTGATTTGGGTTTTCAATAATATACATGTATTGAACCAGGCTACTCTAAAAATAAAGTGAGCCAAATTTCTAATTCAGGGGCTATTATTTACTTTGGTCCATTGGGGGTGGGGGGAATAAATCATTATCAATCTAAATCACAGTACTTTAATATTCCCAATGGGAGAAAATACCTGGTTGACGTGGTCCAGTTTGGGGCAAGGCCTTCCTCCATTATACGGCTTTTCACGCAGCCATTTAGACCGAACCTTCACGCCGCTCCCACAGGACTTGCTGCAGCGGGACCAGTTGGACCACTCGCTGAGCTTGCAGTCAGAGGGGCAGGGGATGATGCAGGCCTCTTCGATGTACCCTGAGTGCAGGAAAACGAGAGGAGGGCCATCTCCCTCGTGTCACTCGTCCACCACCACCCAGACGCTCATTTGGAAGATCCAAGTTTGACTTGACAGCAACATGCTAATGCAGAGTCTCCATCGTTAAGGATTCAAATTAAACGTTGCAGGAAAATGACACATACACACAGCGACTCTGTTAAAATAACAGCTGAGCAGCTGCCATATGATCTGCTCAGGATTCACGCTCACCACATTTCAGCGTTCCTGACGCCCTGACAGTTCCTGTTTAATTGACAATAACCTGCCTGCTGCCATGTCATCCGCATTCTGCCAGAATGATTCATTAAAAAAATTATAACAGTTTTCCACAGAATCCTGTCCGTTAATGTCACACAAGGTCAAGTTTCTGAGTCCACTCAAAAACTTGACCTTGCTCAAGAAGAAAGCCAGGCCCTTTCAATCACTATCCAAAAGGAACCATTTAACTTAGCACCTTCTGTTTCCCCTTCTTTGAAAATGAGGCCAGAAAAAGAAAAATGAAGACTGTTAAATAAATAAAGTCTCCTAGTTTTATAGTGCTGCCAATTTCAAAGCACCTTCACACCTTGTGTTCATTTAATTCGCTTGAAAATTTTAGAAACGCATTGGGCAGGTATGGATGGTCTACTGGGCAGATAAGAAAACAAACGCAGAGAGATAATTGACAAATGCAAGGTCATATAGTGAGGTATGAGGAAAAGTTTTCTGAGGTCTAGTCCAGTATTCATTCCGTCAAATCACACAGCCAATTAACTCAATAGTCTACCGATTAGTTTTGAGAAATGGGAGCATTTTCCTTGAACAATCCCTTACCACCAACTTGGCATTTCACTAGATCAATTTATCACTATTGTTCCCAAGGCAAATGTGTAAGAAAAGCAAAATTCCTCTGGTCAAGAGTCATATACTGTGTGCAGAGTAGTTGTTCTTGATTCAAGAATACACTCTGTCATACCATTTTACATCAACATGAAGGATTCGATTTAGAAATTATTATCACATAAACAGTTTGTACTGGATCTCTAAGTAGATATTTTTAAAATATCTTTTTATTACTTTTTAGAGCAAGAGGAAGGGAAAGGGAGAGACAGAAACATCGATTAGAGAGAAACATCGACTGGCTGCCTCCTGCATGCTCCCTACTAGAGAGAGGGCCCGCAATCTGGGCATGTGCCCTGACCAGGAATTGGAATCAGTGACCTCTTGTTTTATAGGTCAGCGCTCAACCACTGAGCCACACCAGCTGGACTGTGACAGAATTCCTTAAGGTGCTTAGGCAATAATTTGATTTCAAAATCAGTCTAGTTATCCTAGAATAATAAAGAAACTATCAATCATAATATTAAGTCTTGATTTTTTAAAATAAATCTAGTTATTTCCAATGTTCATTGTTTTATCAATTCTTTTTTGAAAATCATAACAATCTTCAAATAGATGGAGTGATCTACTTAAATCTTCTATTTTGACTTTAAATATGGCTTGAGGTGAGGAAACAAAAGCTCTGCTTACTTTTTTGAGTTGAAATACATTTTAAACTCCATTATCTTTTTCATACAGCACAGCCAGTAAATAAATTTACCTAAAACAGCATGAGGTGCTTAGATATGTAATTCCTGATAGGGCCAATAATAATTTTTTAATATATTAGTTTTTTATTGCATAGTAATAGTTTAAGAAATAAAATAAAAATGTAAAAATGTCTAATTTCCAAGTGAATGCCATTCTGTCATCAAACTAATTAATGTTTAAGCAAGTCCAATAATTTTTTAAAATCCCAATTATTTCCAGATATTATCAATAGCTTTGGCAAAAGGACACTAGTATTTCAAAGGTAACGTTATTGAAATATTTCTAGAAGAATTGCATTTTCCACCTTGTTAAATTTCAAAATGACTGTAAAAGTAAACCTCTAACCTTTTGTTATTTAGTAATTGTAGTGGAAAACAGAAACACATAATCTTTAATGTCACTGCTTCATAGAGTAACAGATAAATGGAAATTCTTTCCTTCCATTGTCAGTTGAAGTATTATGGCATTAGTGAGATTTAACATGGATGACCTCAGACTGATTCACATTTATTATCAAGTAGTAACACTTAACACTTAGCATATTCCAGAAACATCTCTCAAATAAAACTCAAGGTATTAAATTGTTAAAAGATACATGTAGACCCTGAGATAAAACTGCAGCAGAATATAATGCTTAACATGTCATTTTTATTTTCCGATGTGTAACAACTTTCAATAATTGCCTGTCATGTTTATCTAGCACAATTAAAAACCTTAATTTTAGTAGTGAATTGCTAGATAATCATGGGGGATTGAAAGACAGAACATTTGATGTGTTTTAAGGCTAAATAAATGGCTGGCATCTTGTAGCAATTTATGGCTTCTGAGGAATACTGGAATAAAATAAATGACTTCACAATTAGGTGTTAAAACTTTTAGCAGTTCAACACCGAATTTGACACATGGAAAAATCAAACTCCTGACTTCTGATCATATTTTTTTTGTATCCTATGACTGTTCGTTGAGGTTGAAATGGATGCAAAACACTAACAGCCTTAAAGTGGCAACCAGAGGACATACTGCCTTTTAGATATATCCCATCACCTCATTCATTTGAACTGTGAATTGCAGATAAAGTAGCTGTCAACAACCTTCACAATGATTAACGCTGTGCTGTTGAAAGGTACACTGTTGATAGAGTAAAAAAAATCATTTTGAAAACACATGAAAAAATATCGGTTGGTTTTGATTTACAGCTGTGTGAATAAGCAACACTGGCACTGTATGTGAAACATCTGGATTAATCTCCAAAGTGACCTCAAAAAAATCTCTCCTGCTTAAATGTGTATTATGTACATATGATTGCAACAGGAATGAGAGCATTTATCTATAAATTTATCTATTGTTGTCTGTGTGGGTTTAAAAATATTTTTAAAATATCCCCAAATGAACATGATATTCTTTTGTAATTATATATTAAAAGCTGATAACTGGATAACCCAGGGAAACCAAACAACTATATGTATAACCGAACTCTTATAATTGAATGTTCTACTCATTCAATTGGAATCAATACTGGGCAATTAAAATTTTCATAGAGAACTGTTCAGATAAATTGATATTACTACAGTATAATGCTATTTTAATTTTATTTATATTTATTTGTTTTATATACATATGAAGGCATATCTCTCCATTCTGCTAAGTACTTAAAGATTCAGGAAATTTCAACATTAGTGTTAAAGGCCGTGGGGTTTTGTTGATATTGTTATTCCAATACTGGAAGCTTATCCAATGATAAGGCACATTAAGATTCATAGATACATCTCTGTATAAGTTCATTATCAAGGCCATTTCTTATAGCAAACTCTAAGGCTTTCTGTTGCACAATAAAGAATTAGGTTGATCTTTGACCTTGATTACTGGGAAATAGCCTCCATGCCCTAAACTTGAGTGTTAGGAGTATCATTGCTATTCCTGGAGGGCCCCTTGCACTACACATGAGTTTATGCTAAAAAGATGTTGACAGGAGGGAGACTGATTGAATTCAAAGACCAAGCAGGTGTTTAGAGTGTTGGGGCTTTAAGCAGCATGATACCTGACCAACCTCTTGGGCGGGAAGATTGAGTTCAACCAACCATGTGGTCAATGATTCAGTCAATCATGCCTACGTGACGAAACCCCAATAACAATGACACCAAAGCTCAGGTCAGTTTTCTGGTTGATTATAAACACTGATGTGCAGGGACGGTGATGCCTCCTGGTGCCATGGAAAAGAACATGGAAGCCTTGTTTGGGGGACCTTCCCAGACCTTGCCTTTGTGTCTTATTTTGGCTGGTTATGACTGTGATCTTTTGCTATAATAAAACTGTAAATGTAAGTATGGTTCTTTCCCGAGTTCTCGGAGTCATTCCAGTAAACTAATGGACCCGATGGGGTGGTGAGAACCCCCAAATCTGTGGCCAGCTTTTCAGTAGTAAAGTTAATCTGTGAATCCCCAAAGTTGTAGCTGATGTCTGAAGTGAGAACAGTCAAGTAGAGACCTGAGCCCCTACCCTGTGATGTGCGGCTTAGCTCTAAGTAGGTAGTGCTGGGACTGCATTCAACTTTCTCCTTCAAGCATCATCACAATGGTCATGTAGTGGACATATACTTTATTTTAAAAGGACATAAATCCATCATTTCTGTAAGAACTGTACCTATGGTTTACTTATTCAACCAAAGTAAAGACCCGGGGAAAGCATTATGGCATTTTCTGACTTTCTCCCCAAATTTAACATTTAAAATTCTAACCAATACTGTATTAAACATCAGAGATAAGTTCTACAAAACTCACTTTTGGGAATAGGATTTTGTAAGCAATATAAATGTATTTTATTGAGTGTTCAGATTGTGAAGATGAAGTAATGGAAAATAAATAAACCTTAAAACTAATCAGAGTGATTTATTTTTAACTTCATCTAATATTAACAAAGCTCTGTTCTTTCAAATCAATGAAAATCCTTTATTGCCATGGAAGCATTTCCAAAGAATGATCTTTAAACAGTTTTGGTGGATTGTAATAAGTATTAAACATACATTTTCCAAAAAGCATTCTGTGGTCAAGTGAGTTAGAAAATTATTGCATTAAACTGGTTAAACAAAGCTCTTTTCCCTGGGCTTTCCTTTTTTGCTAATGTGAATCGTGAATCTCTCAGAAGATAACTCAGGCACTGCATTCCTGTGATTAATGACTTTTTCCTATAGCATCTCACTGAACAAGTGAGAAATAGATTGCTCATAGTTTGTAATTATAGTGCATTAAAATTGGATTCATGTTTTGAGCTGGACAGAGTTTTAATATTTTTCAAGTGGTCCTTCTTATGTCCATTTCCAAATGAAAAAAAGTAAAAGCAAACAAACAAATTAATAACAAAATCCCCCATACTTAGGAGAGTTTCTTCTTCTTAAATTATCTTATGCTTCAAA